TTTTTAGGGCTGAAGCAGGCACTTTAAATACCCCTAGCTGAGACTGCAAGCAGCTACTCCTGCTTCTACAGCTCACAAAAACTGGTGGCAAGAAGATTTCTGAGACTGCATCATGAAATCAAATGGCGAAGAAAAATCAGTTTAAGTTCATCTGGTACTGCAGGCTAATGGAATGTCTTCTGTGCAGGACACGGAACTGAAATACAAGGAGGTTTATCTCATTGGGATATTCATGGCTGTTCTAGTGGAATTTATTTCACCAGCATACATAAGTGTGTGTACATACATATATATACACACACACACAAGCTACATGAGAACCACCTGGATTCAATATAGCACATGTAATTGCTTATGAAAATAGTTTGGGAAATGAATAATTTAAATACTGGTTGGCAAAAAAAAATACAAGCATGGAAATCCAAATATTTTTTAAAAGTCCAAGCTTTTCCTTTAACCTCTTCAAAATATTCAAAAAACTCACAGTAATTGCTAAAGAGTGCAGATAAGAAGAAAAGCTAAACATTTGCATGCAAAATGGTTTACAGGCAGAAAGCATGTGCATGCTCTAAAGCAGAAATAATTTTGGAGGATGAACAGTTAAACTTTTAGAAAGAACAGCTGAAATCTCAGCCTGAAGGTCAGCTTTGAATGTCCCAATGGAATCAGATACTTTTCAGCAACTCCTAAATGCAGGCAAAAAAAAAAAAAAAAAAAAGCCAGCTATGCATTTTCATTTACTTTCCAGGGAGAAATGTTTGACTCCTAGATCTCCCCATCCCACTGGCAAGTTCAGACGACGGTAACTAGCACGCATAGTTAACATAGTTTTGCATTGATACAACACATCCTACAAGCATGGCTATACAAACTTGATTGCCTTTGCACAATATCCTGTTCCCTGGCAAATTATCTAGAGATCTGGCAAGGAAATTTGACACTATTTTCTTGAAAAAAATAGAATAAAATACATTCTGTTCAGGTGAGGGAATTCATACCGCTTGAATAAATCTTTGGGGTATTTTAAAATTCTATTTTAATACATAAATACCTGGGTTTAGTTATCCAACACTTACCATCTCTTTGGAAGTAAGAAAAATGACAACACTTTAGGAAAGCAAAACTCCTTTCTCAATCTGATTCATTCCCATTAGTATTTGCAACATATATTCCTTCCTCACCTCCTACAAAATTAAAACTGTTTATGTAAGGCTCGCAAAGACGAAGGACAAACAAGATTAATCAAGCTTGTTCTTTCTCATTTAGCTTATCATGCTCAAGTCTACATAAGGTAACACCCTGCAATGTGAAATGGTCTGGCACAGTGTAAAGTTTCACTGGCAATGAGACAACAAGGCAAAGGATGTGAAGCGCATCTGCAGTAAAAGGTGAGGAAGGTTGGTCACTTCTAACCTGAGGGGCTTTAAGATATACGATCAAATATGCATACACCAAGGTGGGAGGCTTTCCAAGCTCTGGATGACACCTCTTGGGGTGCAGAAGAAGAGGTGGTTCAGAAACTGGATAAAAAGGGATGAATTGTCTAGAAGAGTCAGAATTGCTTTCTCCAAGAAGGACATTGAAATAGAGGAGAAAGAGAGCGCAAGCATCTGTTAAATGCTGAGATGAGCATGCACACAACATGCTGTGAAGAAGCTGCAGTTAATTGGTAGGTAACCGTCCTTTCTCCTGTGAGCTGCTGTCCCTAGGCCTAGTCACGCTGCCGGGGACTGAGCAGTCTCCACCTCCACTGCAGAGTAAACGAGGCAAGCGTCAGAGCTGCACTGAGACTGGAAACTTCTCCGAGTCCTGCACCACGCCTAGGTATCTCCACAGTGGGAGACTGCATATGCACATTCCCACTCAGGGCAATGCCAAGCAGTATTCCCTCCTAGCCCAGAGGCTGAGGGAGCTCTCTCAGAGCAGGCTTGTATCACAGAAATCCGCAGGCACAATCTCACAGCAGGTGAGGGAAAGGCAGCAGACTAATTAGTTCCCTGACTAACTGCAAAAATCAGAACTCATTCTAGACAAAACTTGCAGAACTTTGAGAAAAGACGTATCAGGAAATACAGTAACAGAAGGGAGATCAGACGGAGGGTCACAGTGATCTCTGGAAGCAAGTATCCATCTGCAGAGGCAAAGCGCGCTGCCTGGGTTTGAAGGGAAAGTTCGAGCAACGTTCTTGGCAAGTGGGGACCTTGCTCCTGCCCAGCCCCCTCCACCAGCAAGCAGAAGGGCAGTCAGTCACGTTCTGCATGGATGGCATCCTTGCCAGTAGAGAGAGATTGCCGGTATCTGAGAAGCGGAGCAGAACAGCTGGGATAGGCAAACTGGTCAAAACTTATCTCCAGACCAGTCTGTATCTATATTATCTGAAGTCACCTCCACCTTTTTTTGCAGAGTGCAGAGGCATAGCCCAGTATACTAGCCCTTAAATTAAGCAGGATTAAACTAGTCCCAGGTAGCACTTAATACTTCCACTAGGCTTGTTCATCCCTTATTTAAAAAAAATAAAATAAAATCTAGGGTTTACTTTAGCAGACACCTCAAAGCAGTTGGAACTATTTCCCCCTTATCTAGTTTTATCAGACTACAGTACCAAGAACCATCCCTGCAGAGAGCTCTAAAGAACCAATTCTCTAAAATTATTTTACACATTATATGAACTTATTTTCTGAACCTTCTTTAAGCACAACGGCTAATTGAGATATAACCTAATTTTTATTGGCTACACAACTCAGTTTCAGCAGCACTTTACAGCTACTCAACAACCATGTTCCTGGTGAGGTAAGAAGTGTTCTAAACACGAACTATTTTACAATCCAGTGTGGTGAGGCAGTGGGACAAACCTACCAGGCTAGTAGAAGCTGCCTCAGTACCCCATTGAGCAAACGTCTGTCAGGGCACACCTGATACTCTGAAAGCTGATATGCAAAGCAATCGGCACAGTCACCCTGCACTTGAGAAAGCTGAACACACTTAGTCACGAGTCCAGGGCAGGTCTCCATCCTCCATTTCAGTTAACCAGGTAAAATGCCTAGTCCTTGGAGCAGAGATTACTATTCTCATAGCCCTATCAGTGTCTCGTCAAAAGCATCCCTGGAGGAGGAGGACTGGGAAGGTGGGTTGAGGTAAGATACTCACATTCACTGTTGCTCTCCTTTAGCCTAACTCCTTCACTGAAAAGACATGAAGGAGCAGTAGCTCATTCTTTCTCAGAACAGGAAGCAGCAGAGCAGGTTTAAGGAATGAGGTGCTTTTGAGATGGTTTTTTTTCCTTCTTCCTGCTCTACACACAGCAACTTCAAACCCGAAAGAGTCCTAGCAGAAGTGTTCTTACTTCGAGACTTCCAGGCTCCCAAGTGAAGGCAGAAAAAGCATGAAGAGAACATCTTGTTCATTAGAACATGCAAAAAAGGAAGCTGGTAGAACCTCCAAGACCCCTGTGTAAATCAGTGATCTGAGAAGACATTGTACAAGACCTTAAAAATTGATCAGGAATTAAAATCTTTCTTTCAATCCTTCACTTTAGCTGAACTAGAGTTTAGTGGTCAGAAGCAATGAGGAAGGGATAGAGTACCTTTCTTTGCTCCAGACTTCACTGTAGGACAGGAGATCTGAGGTGGTGGGACATGTTCTTCCCCTCTCACACTTGGTAGCATAAAAGGGGAGGAAACGATATTACTAGGACTACGTCTTCCGCTCAGTAGCAGTCTGAACATGTTGATCTTGAACTTTTTTCCCTGAAAGCTATTTTTAAACTACTCTAAAAGCAGCTTCTCTCTTCTTTGCTGCTTAATTAGTTCCAATTAAAATAGACTATATTTAAGTAGTATATGTTGACATTTGAATGGTGCTCATCAAAATACAGTAAACGATAAAAACCTGCACTTACACTGAAATATATGTGCCCTTTTTATCTCCTCAAGACTTCCAAAGGGATTTGGGTTATGAATCACAAACATTCCCCTCAGCATTAAAGTCTTATGAGTCAGGAAGATAGTCATCATTAATCACTTCTCAAGCCTTTTTAACAAGGTGGTTCCTGCTTGCTGCATGTTTTCATTCACATCAGTCATTTACATAGCATAAAAGGTGTGCCTAGCACCTTACAGACAACTAAGACAAAAATCTTTGCTTTGTAGTGTTTACAGCTACAATAAGATCACACAAAACAAGAAAAGATTTTCTTTGCAAATGAAAAAAGAACATTACAACTATGACAGAGTAGCAAGTGATTTTTTTCCATGGTGTAAGATAATTTTGCATTTTTGAATTTCTACATTATTTTTATACCATTCCTACTTTTACTACTCACCTTTTTAAGTAGAAACCTATTTACACAATTCATTTAGGACTTTAATATAATTGTAACCACGAAAGCATTTTATTCCCTCCCCTTTCTCAAATGAATGCAAATCACTATTTTGCTGTTAGACTGTTTCAGGGAAAGGGAGAGGCACCCCAGTTTTCTACTGAATACTTACACCACTTGCATCAACATGTCTTAAGAAGCAGTAGCAGAGGTGCCAGAGTTTCTGTAATCTGAGTGGCTACTTAAAAGGAAAAAAAAAAAAATCTGGAAATGAAACACATTTTCCCCTGTTAAAAAGAAAAAAAAGAGGTAAGATACCTACTCCATGTCTGCCACTTAGTTAATGACACTTAAGCAAAGAAAAAGGAAGGTTTCATTTGTTCTTCCCAGCATGGTTTGTCCGTCATCATCTTTTCCTCCTTTATACACTGGAAAAAACTTCATAACACAACTACATCTGCCCTCCATGGAAAAGCTGTATATGCTCATGCATATTTTTTCAGGACTGCCAATTAGCCTACAGTCCTTTCACTGGTAAGGAATGTTTACATGCTTCTCTAATGCTTTTCTCCAATTATTACAGCTGTTATTTTGGATATCAGTGCCATAAATGAATGTATCAGCCCACAAGACAGACCAAAGTTATGAAACAACAGCTGTGAAAACAACGCAGTTAAGGACACAGAAGTACTCTGTTACAAGCTGTTTATTAGAACTCCACTTTGACAATAAATAAGGTATTTCCCAAGCAACCAAGGTGTAATTACTTAGAAAGTTAAACAACTGAAGTTTTCACAATGCATTCTTTTTATATACACGATTTACTGTATTTTAAACACCAGTTCATCTGGAGCTGTACAACAGCAGGATGTCCATTTTTTAAATTCACACAGCAGGAGGCTACCGAGACATACCTTTAGTCTGGAAGCCACGTGTGTTAAAACAATCCAAAACCATACCAGCTTCAGGTTGGATAGTCCAACTGTTCCGAACAAATCCCTCTTAATTAGACTAGCTGCTGAATTCAAACGCAGAGGTATGGCTGACCCAGGAGAAACAGTGCCTTTTAGATTTATGGTTTGAAAGAACTAGTAAGTGGCTCAAATTCCAACAGTACAATGTAACCACGTGTAGTTTACTGTGCTACCGCACACCCTGTTCTGCCCTCCACACAAGTGGCACAGAACAAACTTCTGCAAGGGATATTCTCAATGTTGTAAATCTCTCATAGTACAAACTTTGCACTTCAACTTACTGTTAATTATGAAAACGCTTGGTTTTGGTCAAATGAATTAGCATTTCTTCACTTAAATACTTAAGACATTTAATATGCCTTAATAATACTTTTAAGAGTTTGACATTCAAAGTTAACTTCAAAAGAATGTTCCTGTTCAATAAAGCACCAGTTTCCCCCATATGTTTACTCCTTAAAGAAAGTCTACAAAAGACTAGCTTTGTTTTGTTTTTTTTTTAACACATTAGTTCTGCTAAGAGTTGTAATTTAAAAATAAAATTTAATTCTTATGGTTTGATCAAAGCCATGTTTCCAAAGTGAGCTTTACATATCCTGTGCAACATCCCCTTTTCTTTAAGTGCAGAGGAACAGGTCTCAAAAGTTACGCAGCTGCAATCGAGTTATCTGCTTGACGACCCTGAGGCTTTAAGAAAATACAGACAGACAATTAAAAAAAAAGGCAATACATTGTGTTGATCAGTGTAGCTCTAGTACACAAGTGTAGTACTAAGCCTATCCTTACTTCTAATGGTTTCCAATAGTAGCACAGAGGACACCCAACCAAAATTTCAGTTTGGCCCAGTGAGTGCTTGGTCAAGGTCTCAGCACCTTAACTGCCCTGCTGAATACCAAGAGCATCTCCGTACACATGTGGACAGCTTAGCACAAGGCCTGGCCGACCAGAGTGCTGAGTATTACTGCAGTATAAAAAGCTGATAATTATCAATGCACAAAACTGGAGCGTGACTGACAGTTTCTTGGAGGAATTTTAAGCGGAATAACTAGAGATGGGAAGAGAGCTAGGAGGAAGTTTTAAGAAGAAAAGGCATCCCCTATGCAATAAGGTTTTTTGAGGTCCTGACAACTCCAGAACAAAAGCAAAGAATTCTGAAGCCCCAGAGATTCCACAGGAGCGTTGAGAACACCATGCTTTGGAGGAAAAAAGTCTTTTTTGTTGACTTAGAAGGACATCTTGACAACAAATCTAGAAGAGCTGCTGATTGACAGCATATGCAAAAAATAAAGTTCTGCCTATCTCTTTTGGCTAAAACAAAACTGAAAGAATGCCAGCCCTGTTTCCTCAAAACAGGATTACAGATGTCTGAACAAGTCCATCTCAAGTCACATAAAATAACTCTTCAGGCTCGTTGCTTACTAAGACTCTGACTAAAAAGTGAATACAATATTCTGGAGACAGCAGCAGTGGAATGAGAAGCATTGTTTTGGGCAACTGGATTTAAGCGATTCTTAAAAAGTCAAAAGAAGAATGATCTGCTATTCATGACATGACTGAATTGTCTTCAGAGTTGTACCACTTAAGAAAAAAATTCTAGACTGAGTGACTCACTGAGAGGATGTGTTTTTAGAAGTTATTTACAGAGGTGTGGGATGCTACAGTGTTTCTGAACCTAATCATATGGGTTACTCAAAGAAGCGCTACAAATTATGGTATAAATTATGGCATAAAGTATTTCATCACATTTAGCTCAATCCGCTGTACCCAAAATACAAACAACTTTAAAATGCATTTTACAAAGCAAGACACAGAACAACATGGACAGGTTAAACACATTCAGCTAGTTTGCCTAATTGCAACCAAATACCTGTTGCACTTAAACAGATTTCTTAAGGATTTTGGTTGACAATGCCAATGCATAATCAGAGTCTTTTCAAAGCAAATAACTCTGTTACAAGCTGGCCATTTTAGTCTGCTTAGAAACACTCAGCTTTGAACAGAGCTGGGGTGGTAGTCCCCAAAAACCTAAGCAGCCCCACAGGGAGCCTTTAAACATAAGGCACTTCTCACAGTCTTACCTTTACAAAAATGTGTGTCGGTATGAATCGCCTGAGCAACTGATTAGTGAAGTTTGGGAATCGCAGCAAGTTAACATGAAGAGATGGTAACTGCTGATATCCAGCCATCAAGGGATAGAAGTTATACAACATCTCCTGCTGCGTGCCGGGAAGGATTCTTAATCGGATCTTAAAAAACAGAAAAGAAGAAAGCCACAGACATAGGTAAGGTCTGTGACCAAAAGCAGGCCTCTGTTTACTTTCTATTTATACACCGTTTGCTTTCTGAAGTCAGAAAGAATGCAGGTACTTTCCTACTCTAGTTAAACTACCACTTCTATACTGAAACGCCGTGCTACTCAAACAACATGACAAACGGCTCCTAGTCAGGCTTCCATTTAGCCCTTCGTTAAATGGAGCCTGCATCCATGCGCTCTTCCAGACAGAATTTACCATACTTTAAACATCTAAAAACCAACGAGTTTGTCCTCTCTGCATATCAGTGTAAGTCTAATCAATGTATTCTTCACCATCAGCATCAGTAGATGTGATAATTTTGTACCTGTTTAAGGCCAGAGAACATGAAGGCATCACTGGGTTCCACTGACACCTCCACATCTTGGACTAAGTTGGTCTTATTTTGCAGATGGTATCTGACAGGTAGGGATTCTCGGACTCTACCAAACGATGGCAGATCTTTGGAAAGAAAGCAAGTAATCTCAAATGCAAAATACATTTTAAAGTTCCATATATTCAAAAAAAAAAAAAAGTCTATCACAAACAGCAGTGAAAAGTTTGAAGAAAAAAAAAAAGATAAAACAACTAGGCATCTAAAGCATTTCTGACAAAGTTTTTCAGCAAAAGATTAAGAACAGAACACAACTTCATTACAGCTTTTTAACAATACTTCAACATCTAGTTACAAAACTCCCAACTGCTAACACTGTCCAGGAATGCTAACTAAGAAGTCATTTTGGTTGCTGCTGGGTATTTTCAGCTTCCAAAACCTTATCAGATACTGTCAGGAAGCACCTTCAAAATACAACAGGAAAGGATAGTGGAAGAATCTCAGTACAAATGAAACCAAACTGAGGAAAGCATAGGAACTATGTGTTCAGTGAGCAACTCCCCCTCTGCTCTTGTGCAGGTGAAGTGCTAGAACAGAAACAGTTCACCTGCCCGCAAGCAGCTCCAACACTCCAGGCTGTTCCTTCCCTGGGATGCAGTCAGGGCATGGGTGGATGGAACAAGTCCTGTCATGGGCATCTAAAGAAACCTACTGGGAAGGTGGCATCAGCAGAGGTAACTCTGGCCTCTGTGCTGCCACAAAATGCAGGTCGATCCACTGACAGCTTTTAAGAGACCGCATCTGTATAACCACCTTCCAGCTCTTCCCTTGAATTGAAGGGAGGGACAGAGGGGCAAGACTCGAGGCAGTCTAAACGATGATACAGTTTCTTCCACTAGCTCCATAATATCCAGCACCAGTTTTCTGTCTTTAGCTACAGTAAATGCAAGCTCTGAATACTGCAAAACTTTGGCAGTCCTAAAAAATTTAATTGGGACGTATACATTGCCAAATTAATATTACCTGCATTAACATGGAGCGGAATGCTCTCCACAATCACATGTGGTAGGGTGATGACTGTACTAACAACAGGTACACTTTCCACAGGTGAACTTCTGCAGGAAAAAGTCAAAACGCAGACCACGTTGAAAGTTATACAACATAAAGCACCAAGTCAGTACACCGAAAAAACATCACTTATATGTGACTTAACTAAAATCAGCAGTGGAAAGGAAAACCCCAAATCCTTATACTGGATTGTTCAAAGTGAGCAAAAAATGTGCCATAGCATGGAGATAAAACAGCAAAAAAGCAAGTAGGAAAACTAAACAGCTCTAGAACTAAACAAAAGCAAACTAGAAGAAAAATATACCATAACATTTGTCTTTGAAATTATGAATACATAAATCCACAGTCTAGGTTGGGAAAACAGTTCTTCCCATTTACAAAGTTCGTTTGTTTCTACTGTCACAAAACTATTCCTTTGACTTGGCTTCTCAAGGGAAGTATTTCATGACTGCAGAAAACAAGGAGCAGGTGGTGACAAAACATCTTTGTAATTGACCCAAGACCTTACAAAGAAGAAAGCTTCATGGAACATTAAATCCATAACCACATAGTATTTAGCTCTTAAGTAAAATATGTATTTAATCAAAAGTCTAACAAGCTAAGCAGTAGTTAGTAAGTCCAAAGTCTAGACAGTGCTTGCTACAGGAAGATCCAAAACCAAAAAAGCCAAAAATTCCCCACCCAAACCAAACCAACTCACCATCATTCCTAAGAACAAACCAACTTATTTCCTCTCCCTGTCCGGGCCAAGAGATACTGACCTCTTCCAGGAAATGACATAACATCCAGTTGCCACTCCATTAGCGTTAGTAACTGGAGGACATCGAAGGCAAAAGCACTCACTGGCACTCTCACCTGTCTGTAAAACAACTATCAGCAAGATTTTGTTTAAAATCAAAGCATAATCATTACTGCAGAAGCCACTAAGTCTAAAAATCCAATGACACATACACGTGTTCAGCCAGAAAGGCCTTTTCAAATGCTTTGCAAAGTGTACCTACCTAATATATAAAATTAATAAAGATGGTGAAGTATCCCAATACATGAAAGGATGATGTATAAAAATGTATGACAGTTTACTTTCTGAACAGCATTACGAGGTCTTCCATGTACACGTAGAACAAGCCATTATAAATTTAGAGTTCATACACACACACAAAAGCAAAAGTAACAGCAATTCAAGTTCTACACTTCTCCTACAGCAAATTCCAAGACACCAGCACAAGATGTCTCTCATATTTTGTAACTAAAATAAACAGACATTTCTCCTCTCCCATCCAAATGGATAAGGTGCGAGGAAGAGAGGGAACACAAGAAAAATCTACTGGCTTTGAGTTTTCACTCTTTTTTACCTTTTTTTTTTGCTCCACTTGAATGAACTAAAAAACCCCCTACCTTTTCACTTGGAGTGATTAAAAAAGAGTACTAATAAAATAAATGTTTCAGTCACTCAAAATTAATCGTTGATCTTTCTTACATGGGGAAAACCAAAAACAACCGAAAAAACCCAAACAAACAAAACACACCCAAAAGGTGGACAGCTGAATAGCTGGTATCTGAGGGGGTTCATACCTCCTAGCAGTTAGCTCTTTTAGGAGCATTAACCAGAAGCATGAAGCACAAGGTGCCAGAGCTGAAGATGAAATATCATAGTTTGAAGACTAAAGGACCTGGGAAATAATTGCTTTTTGCCAGGTAACTCTTGAACCTATAGAGGAACTAGAGTCTTGCAAGTCCTTGATTACATGGGTGGACAGCTGCCCCACAATCAGGCAGCCATCCAGACTGCCTCATTTCAGTCCATGTTTTGACAGAGCATGCACATTTTAACATCTCTGACTCAGCAAACGCAAAGACAACATTTTGTTGTAAGATTTTGGACCAGCTCTGTTGCTAAGTATTCCATTTATTTAACTTTAAAGCTAACATACTGTACTCTTAAAGGTTGAGATCTGCAAGATTTTAATTTTTTTTTTTTTACATTTAAGTAATAAATTACTAAACTGTGTTAGTATAAAAAAAATGCTTATTTCTAACTGTTCTTTATAGCCTACCCTGTCCAGCTTCACATTGTTCAGTTTCATGACTGCAATCATGGACATGGATCACTTTAGCCTTTGGATACTGCCTCTACCACATGGTAAAGCATTTGCATTCCAAAAAGTATACATAGCCCATAAACACTGGAAATATTGAGTATCTTTTCATATGGAGATCTGTGAAGTTGCATATAGGAAGTACTTTCAGGTGCTTTCCCTTACATCTGTTATATTTAGAATTTTGGTTACCATCTATCATTCAAGTCTATTTACTTGATCCAGTGAAGCAGAACTACGTTTTGAGGCATACTGCTGTCTAAGTTGTGTTCTGGCAAGCAACTATAGCATTAAGCAGCTTTCTTCTATTTACTTCGATAAGCAAATGCTGTTTAAAATGTCCCTCTTTCTTACTCCCAACTATCTCCTAATAGAGAGCACAGTCTAAGAAAACTTACCATTCTCCACATAAGATTCCAGATGATCTACTGGGCTCATTGAAGTCGAGAGCTGTAGCTGGCTGGTTACAATAGTGAGAGGCCAAGGAGAGGCACTCAGGATGTCGGTCATCAGTAAAAACGGTATATCGGCAAATACTCTGTCCAAGTGCTCCAACTGTCAAGACAGACACAAACTGGCTATTTCTAACTAAACAGGGTACAACTACTGAAAGTGGCATGCTTCCAAAATATCAACCACTTTTCAAACACGTACCTTTGTGGAGACAAATTTGACAGCAACATCAAAAGGAAATACTGTTTCTATGGTTACAGTTTCATCCTGTAGAGGTACAAAGGGGGTGGGAAGAACATGGGAAAAAGTTATATTCAGTTTCAGACCTGGCTATTGATGTCAAAGGTTACTAATGTAAAGTTACTTTTAATCATCATTTTAACCAAGTCGTCCCCAGGGCAGAATGTATCTTCAAGATATTTAAGAGAAATATATAGAAAACTTTTCTGCTGATTATACTTGTGAAACTGCTCACCCTAAATTTGGCTATCATACTGCTTATTTAACATTTTTTCTATCTGTTAGAAAGGCTTCTAAGAGACTTGGAATTACAGCCTTTAGATTGAGAATATTTCTTGCATTTCATGAATGTATCTCCAGCAATTGGTCCATCTTTACATCCTACCCGGTGACACTTGCAGAGGATTTCTTTCCCCTCGACGACAGTGTTGATTAAGTAAGAAACATAAACCAGAAACATTCTTGCACCAACTGTTCCACAACGAATGTATATTGGTTTTTCCAGCTGCAAAATAAAGGAGACAATATGAGCCAAGCTATACCTAAATTACATCAATTAGGCCTAGAGCTGGCCAAAACTTGTTACACATGTTGCTTGGTCCAAGAGGGCAATAGCAGAATGGGTATTATTTTCACCATAATGAATCTCCCACAATGCATGATCTTAACCATGCAGTGAATGATTTTAACTGGAGTAGCACAGCTCCTGTTGCTTTGCTATCGATGCTTGTCTGTTACTTGATGGTACAAGAAAAGAACCATTACTGTGTAATGTGTGATATACCCAACTTCTAATTTACTGGTCACCATTTCAGTTTGGTGCAACATCTGCATATTGGATCATCTTCCATGTTGAATCACGCTTGCTGATTATTCCTATCTACTGTCCATTAGGAAGCGCATTTAATTAACAGTTGAGCCTCCTTATTCAGTTTATCATCTCCCAGCTGTATCATCAATCCCAGAATATACCTTATTCCCAGATTTAGCCCCAAAGGGCATCTAGCTAAAGAAAATACTAAACTCCATTTAAACAACAGGTAAAATATGCCATAAGTATTTCATTTATCAGTTCAGATACCTGAATGTAAACATAGGTCCTTCTATGACAGTCTTTTATTAGTTGATCCCCATTTTCTTAAGTGCAATATAGGATAAGAGTTTTAAGCCTTCACCTTTTCCCCTGGTTGCAAGTCTCCTACAGGGATATCAGGAAGCAGTGCAGGAAAGGAGTCATCACATGCATCTGTTCCATGAAGAGTCACCTGAGTTTTCTGAGTCAGGTTGGCATCCTGCCCTAAGATTAAAAACAGTCTTCATATCCACACAGGCTTACAGCACTGAAGCATGAAAGCAGTAACTAAAAATAGTAAGATATTCATCTCAAAAAGCAATGCATGAAGAATTAACATTGTTCATTTGGTTGAGGGAACCTTTCAAAAGCACTAGCAGAGGGTAGATTTGACAACACCTTAAGTTTCCCAAGTTGGAGGGTTCACATCCTGCAAGGTTGTTTGATCTATTTAGGCCAGAAAAAAAAATAATCTCAAAAATCAGATACTATGTCTAGATGTTCCCTACCATATACAAAGCACATGACTCTGTGATCCAAGTTTTTCTTGGTACTCTATGTGAAGTAAAAAGGAAATCTCACTGTTCTGCGATTCTTCTGTTTTCAAAAGCATGGCTTAATGATTTTACATCTTTTTAAATTGTTCTTCCAAATCTGGGTTGAAAATATGTAAAAACAAATGCATAGGTATTAAACGACACCATTCTTCAGTCAGAGGTTTACTAGAATAATTGGCATTACTGCAATCATGTGGGATAATTTTTAAAGCAAAATAAGCCACATCTTGCCAAAGAGTTGCAACTTTGGAAATATATCACCTTTCCTATAAATGAAATGTCAAATTTCGATTGGGCTTTTTTAAAATGTAATCAGCAAGCCCACAGTGACCTTGCATATCATGTGTTAAGAGTCAAGATCAAGTTGGGGGGGTGCAGAAATCAAGACCAACTATGAAACACTGCTTTAGGAGCCAAGCCCAAACACCCAAATAAAGAAGTTTAAAGAACACTCCACTGACTTTGATGAACCGTATGACTGTATAGGGAATGCGGGTGTATTTCAGAGTACACAGCGCATATTGCATCCTATATGCTAGGGGCTTAAAAATATTTTTGCCTTTTAGGACAATTGCTACAATAGGCACACTGAGTATAACATTTGGAATTCAGATCTTGAAAACTGTCAGCAATCACTACATACAGGTAACTAGAACATGACTACAATAACTACAATATTCGCAATTTTTTCTTTTCATTCAAAGGAATACTGTCTCAGTTCTCCACCATTCCCCAGATTTCAAGTGGTTTAAAAACCAAACCACATTGACCAGGGTGGGGGGAAAAAAAGCTGGGGTGAGTGTGAGAGAAAACCCACAAAGACTATACTTAGAGAACATTTATCTAGCACTGTCCAATGCTTTCATCCCAGCAAGAAAAAGATCTCTCTCTTGGGAAAAGAAAAACTTAGTTATGAGCAAATGAAATAAAACGTTAGGAAGGAATACAAAAGCTTCCACATTTTCTTTCAAATTTGTAAAGACACATTTTGAAAATACTCACATAACCACTGCTTGTCAGTGATGTTTAAGATAACCATAAGTGAATGAGTCTGTTAGCTCTTGTTCTTACCACTAGTATCTCATCGTTCCCAATCTTCCCTTTGGTTTGGCTCTTAATTACTGCAGGAGAGCCATTTACTGTATTTCTCTGCATTGCATCAAGAACAAGGAGTCAACTAGGAGACTGCTGGATTAAAAGAAAATAACCCCAAATACCTGGCTTTAAACCTGCTGTAAGCTTAACATCTTTGGCCACCGTCTCCTCATGTGACTGGACTGTCACAATCAAACAATACATTTCATTAGTCAGGGCAGGAGGTTCATGACGGAGCTGAACAGAAATGTTTGGCACTCTAGAAATAATCCTTTAAGAGAAAAGACTCAGTTACTGTATGTTTCTTAAATAACAAGTTTTTAAGCCTGGTTTAAAGGAGATTAAAACAGCCTATTGTTTAAGAGAATTCTGACAACTGGTGGCCTATTCAACTAGGAAATGTGAGATTCCTGAAAAGCAGCATGATAGGAACAACACCAGAAGAACAGTTTGAAACCCCAGTAATAAGCGTTAATGGATCAGATGTTTCGTCAGGAAAGAAAAAAGCACTCCCAGCAACAGCAATCAGATTTAGTTCTTTTGAATACATCTAAATTAGTGTTAGTCTATTTATTAATAATTATTTTCCAATACAGTTTCTTAGGGATTCTTTGTGTGATGGCTTTTGAGAGAATAACACCTCCCAGTCTGCACAAAAATCTGGGGAAAAAAAAAAAAATCTACCTAGCAAAGTTAGGTGAACGGGAGAACTAAAGCATATTTGGTATGCTCAGAGATCCATGCAAGCTTTTTCTGTACTTCTAGCTATCCAGAGCCTCAAAAGTCCTTAAGAATTAAGGCAGTACTTATCTTATCCCCAGCAAAGACATACTAAAAAGCTCATATTAAAGAAGTCCCAACAAGTCTGTCGTCTTCTTTTAGGCAGTGATCAAGACTTTTCAGGAGACTCACAGTGATACATTACATTTTTTTCAAGTTTTTACTCACATAGTGCTTGCCTGAATAGTCAAACTGTCCCAGTGCACTTCATTATCCGGAAGCTTAGGTTTTCGCCTGAAGGAACGTGCTGCCTGCAATGTTTCTTGAGATGAAGCAGCATCTCCACCTCCTCCACGCCAGTTCAGAATCACACATCGGCCAGATTCACTTCCCAGGATCAAATCCACAGAGGTGATCTGACAGACAGAAATTTAAACACATACTGATAACTTTGCCTTCAGATCACATACTGTAAGAATATAGTTTTCCAGCATATACAGGCACAATAAAGATGTGCATCACCAAAGAGGTTCTGACAGCTTTGTAGACTGAAAAAACCTCACCATTGCAGGATTTCATTTAATAAAAGTGGTGGGAAAAGTATCCATGCTCATGTGTGTGCAGCATAGTATTTTGTAGTTTCCTACCCTCTGATAGTGCTATACCACCCCCCTCCCTTTTTTTTTTTTTTAACGTATTGCACATATTAAAAAGCAAACAAACAAAATCGAAGCAATACTTAAGCTTTTATTATAATTTTTTGCTTCGGTATTGTCAGTAAAATTTTACTCTCATTTTTGGTATTTAGTTTCAAGAATTCAAATATTTGGAACTGCAGTGACATTAGTAACTGGTGTCAGACTAGAGGCAGCTCTGTAGTTTTGTGTTCTTTGTACGCATCAGTAAGAAAAGCATAAAACAAATTGACAAACCTCAATCTTCTTTCCTACATCTTCAGTTTTCGCAACAAATTTGAAAGTGAACTTTCTCGTTTTGCCAGGGACTAAGCACATTGTTCCTTGTGATGACTGTTCTAGAATATCACTTTTTTGATAGGCTTCTTCTACCACACAGTATTGGTTGTAATCCTACAACGAAGGAGTGGGGAAACAAATTGACAGATCCAGACTTAAGACATCTTTAGAGAGTAACGGTAGTATAGCAAACATTAAGGCTCTGTGTTACTGGATCAAACTATATGGGTTCTTGCTACTTTTCACACTATTGTAATTACTTGCTAAGTCTTAACTTCACTACAATTTCACGCAAGATATCAATTATATTAACATAACCTCATGCAAGAACATCAAGAGAAGACAGATTAAAATGATCCTTCTGAAACTTTAGAGCGCTTCATAGAAATATAAAGATATGATAGATGAACTAATCAGACTGCCTTTGGAAGTTTTATCACAATATCAACATAATTGTCAAAAGTGATAGATAATACAAAAAGAAAACACACCTTTCCGACTTAAGCATTAACATAATCTTTGGAAAAGAACTTCGAAAATTTTTATGTTTAAAACCACTGATACTATTCCATTCTTACAATAAGCTTCTATCATTAGATCAAAGATAGATAGAACACAGTTACCTGATTATTGAAACTGATGCAGAGCTTCGAAAACCTAATAGGATGAGGACAATCAGCTCTCAAGTATACATCAAACTGCACAGGAACATCAACATGAAAACTAGGAGCAAGAAATTTTGCTTTGCACTGCACTAGAATAAAAAAAAAAAAAAAAGGAAAAAAGAAACAAAAAAAGAACTAAGAAGGTGTTAAACAAAAACTACAACATTAAATTCCAGAAGCACACTCTTGAAATAGTTGTGGTAAGAATGTACACAGAGCAATCCTTAAGATTTTGGTTTGTAAGTGGGACAAATTTGGCTGCTAACACTGTCACAGAAAGCCACCTCTCAGCACTGAAACCTCTGCAGAGGAGACTACATCCAGCAGAAAAAAACCCCCACAACAAAACCCAACACAATAATCCTGTACACTTACACTTCTTTTGTAGGTAAGGCTCACTCATGCCCCCTTTCTACGGGGAGCATTACTTTGTACACACTCTGCCCTTTTTCCTCAGAACCCTACTTCAAAGCACACCAGAGTGGCAGAAGTCTTTCAAAAAGCAAGGGATTCTTCTTTAGTAATCCATATCAGGGATAAGAGATCACTGGCTTCTTTTCATGATTTTTTTATCTTACTGACTTAGATGAAGAACAGAGCAGTGCTGAAACAAGAGTTTCAGTGTTGCTGGCTTTAATACACGCTTTATATTTTTCCCTAATTAGTTATTTGCAAGATATAACTACACAAAAATTTAAATCTCGTGTAAATATTTCTTTCTTACTTACCAAATGGTATAAAATCTTGGACTTCTATTGTAAAAAGATTACTGCCTGCCAAGGAAACACGGTCAGCCCACAATTTTTGTGATGCTTTCACAGCAGCAGCATCGCAATCAGGTTCAGGATCAGGGCTTTCATTCTGTATCCAGATAGAAGGTTACAAATAACAATAAAAGAAGGTTACCAAACACTGACCACTCTTAAGGTTATTTAAAAGGGTAACAGGAGTTTTGACACTTACCATTAGAACTTTTATCAGATTTTTTTCTATTCGAGATTTCTGATCTTCTTTAAGAGTAGATGCTAGCAAATAGAACAAAACCAAAGATTACAAGACAGAAGCAAGCAATTTTTTTTTTAAACTTAAAAACAAATCTTTCCTTTAGATTGCATCTTTTAAAAAAAAAAAAAAAAAAACAAACCCACAACCCCAAACAAAAAACCCCACACATTCTGGGGGAAAATTCTAACATCCACCCACTAGTAATGAAGGATTCACTCAGTGTTGAGAAGTTCACCCATTGTAAGTATTTCCTCTTACTTCCACTGGAACCAAGTAAAAATTTTTTTTTGGTTAGACAAGCATTTTGTAATTTATTGGAGGAAAATCCCAAGAGAATAATGCCTATACATTCTTCTTATTCACATTTAAAAACAGAAGAAACAGTAGAAAACTCTAGGCAAGCTCAGAGAGTATCAGAAACAACAACTAGAGAAGGTGACAGGAAGAAAAAAAGGACTAATTAAAATAAGCACTCTTCTCTTGAAGGCTAAGAAAGGTGGGTTTGTCTCACTGGTTATTCTTTAATACAAAACAGAGTAGCTAGCTAACAGAAGATGCAAACCCATTTCTACCACACCTACCCGAACAGTGCTATTAGTTAGCAATTTAGGGCACAAAGTGATTATTTCTGCAATGTCAAGTAATAGACATTATACGAAGTAGAATGCTGTGCAGCCACCCTATGTCACATTTCTTCCCTGAAAACATACCACATGCATATTTCATCAGCAGAGTTCTAGTAAAAAGTCTGAGAAGCACATCTGGGATTTTAAAGCCCAGAAAAAGCATGTTAGCTTTGTTACTTACTACAAAAAGAAGGTTTTTCCCCTTTAGTTATATTACAGTTCTTCCCCCATCCCAAAGCTCAGGAAGTTTCTGTTACATTATTTGAAGAGTCTCAAATGAAGCTGTGTGCCTCAGATATCCTGATACAGTCTACTTGAAGGCAATGAATTTTATAATAGAAGAGAAAGAAAACACAACTTCCAGCTGTCCTAGGTTACAGTGTAAGAT